TATAATGAAAAATACTATATAAAAACGTGCAAACAACGGCTTTATAACCTTAAACAGAACCTTATTGTACAACATTACATAGTTTTATTTAAACAACAGTTTCTCTAAAAATAAACAAAAATCTGTCCACATTTCTAACATGGAAACAAGTTGGTTGAGTTGTAAGTTCAAAGAATCAACTCAGTAATGTAAAAATGATCGATTAAAGTGTGCTAAATACATTTTTCTTTATTACAAATGGAGGTCATTATGCAGACGGTATTTAGGGCGAACAAACACTTCATCTTGGAAATGTATTGTAGGGAGAAGTTAAAAATGCACCGACATTTGCTCCACGTTAATAGAATTGTAGATAAGCTCCATTCAGCCGGTCTTCCAGTGCCTTTATAGCAGAGGAATTGGTTATGTATTCTATAACACAATGAAGAATTACGAAAAAAGATACAACATACCCTGTCTTAAATTTGTTCGTGGCTTTTATAGTGTTTTTTCGTCTGAGGGACTTTTAGTGATCATGTGGGTTTAAACCCAGCAATCGACCAACATAATTTGTTCTATAATAATCCTGCAATCCAGTGTTCTAAAGTTTATGAATTATTCGTTGATAAAACCAAAGAATGGTGTAATAATATCAATCACTTATAATATATCCGTAATTGTATCAACTAATATATTTCTTACAGCCAAGTCAATTGGACCTCATTAAAAAGTAAAGCGTAGGCCTATAAAGATTGTGAAATGCCTAATATCCCATAATTAAGTCTCTATTCTTTATTTTGTGTCAATTTATAAAATAGTAATGTCGAACAAATAATTTACATGCCTCATAAAACATGTTCCATTAGTTCTTTAGCATTGTCGTAAATTTTGTTTAACATCCCTGATTTGAAACCTTAAATGTACAAAAAACCTATTGTAAATAATTTAAAATAAAAAAATATTTTGTACATTTTTTTAACATGTTCCAAAATGTCCCCCTAAGTATATTGTTTACACACTTTAGAAAATTAATCATTCATTCTAAAAATTCTCGTATCATACAATAACTTCTGAAAACACGACAATTATTGTTCCACAAACATCTGAAGAGCGGATCTGTGTCAGAATCGTTTACGTTAACACGATAATGTATCGATTGTGTACGGAAGGGTTGTATATAACTCACGTAACGTTTGAGCAGTGCGGTGGTTGGCAAGGTGCCACCTCCCCCTGAAAACAGCCCCAAAATGTGCCCTTAGACACGTCTCGCTGTAATCCCCGGCTTGAGCCTGACCATCTCAAAATCACTCTCCGATACAGCTGGAGCTGCTTGGAATAATAACGACACCTGTTGTTATCCTTCTTAAAGCTCTCTTGATGTTAAACTTAAATGGTAAAAGTGTTGACTATAGTTGTGGCCAAAAAAAAAAAAAAAAAAAGTTGTGGCCAGTGTTAAAGTAAAAAACGTCAGTCGGTAGAGTGCGCTGATAGAAATTATTGATTTATTTAATTGGAAAGTGGTTTAAGTTAATAGTTTCAATAGGTTTTGATAATACCACTCTATTTAGCGTAGTTACATGAATGGGCGTAAATCTCAACAGACCGTAGATTTCAACGGATTTAACATAGTCCTAGTGGTGGTTTTTGCGTGTTTTTCTCATATCAAACACGGATGTTAATTTTTGGTCCTTCGAGCCGGATTAATTAATTAATTTAACTTCATAGAATAATATTTTAATACATTTTTATGATTAATAATTTTCTTTTTATTCACTAAATCCAAACTTTAATATTTGAATCCAGATTATTACTAAGTACTTTACTTCGGACAACCTGGGCGTATTTAACGATTTAATGAAGGCAAACATTAGGAAAAAGTTATTGCAAACAGAATCTTTTATGCAACATCAACTATCAAAGTCACAAGAACTAAAATGTTGAAAGTAGGAATTTAGACGGTGCAATATTTATCTAATACAAATTTTATTTGGACACCCTCCACTCCTTGCAACTGATTTCATACTATGAATAATTCGTTTCCTCAGTATAAAACATGTTCAAATGAAATTTCACAAATTTTACACAGCACAAAGTGTTTGTAAATGTAGCAATTTCCTAAATGTTTTACGTGTTACTCAGCATCCAAGTTTGTAACTTCACTTCACGTAGTCTACTTATTGTTTTGTTCGCTCTGCATTGCACTGTTCATTTCCGGGACCATCTTGTAAAATAGCTTTCAAGATCAGCTGATTTTAATAATCATCCTTTAACAAGTGAGTGCACATTTTAAGGAACTACTTACAGGGTTAATGCAGTACACGAGTTCGATTGTTCCTAGACGACTTTAGTAAATGGAATATTATAAGGATTGAGTAAAATTAGGTTTTCTGGTTCAGAAAGTTTTCCTGTCATTTTATTTAACAGAAACGCCGGATGATGGTGGACACGCAGCTCAAAGAAGTAGAACAGTGGGATTGAACCTGGTTACCTCAAAAACTGATATTGCAAGAAATAACTAGACTGATCTCAAACAAATTAAAATTAAACCTGTGGTTAAAGAGGGAAATTCAACGATAGTTGCGAGGTTTGAGAACCTACATCACCTCCATAATACTAATGAAAGATGGCTTCAGTTGTCGTAATAATATAACAAAACAATCATACTACAAAATTGCCTCAGTAAAATTGGGAATTGAAGGAAAAAAGTTAATGTGTATTGGATGTAATGCAAGCAATGAGCTCCCCTCATTGAGTTACATTTGCATATGGTTGTTAGGTTTCGCAGTTTTTATAATTATAATTGTATAGTAAATTAATTGTTATGCTTATTTTACTAAGTTATTGTTAGATTTTTTTATTTTTATTATGTGAAGTGTGAAGAACTTTTATTTTGATTTTAAGCAGCCAAATAAGGACTCTATCACGCACAGGTCATTGTGACCCATGTGATATTTTTATTTGATTCATGTAATGCTGCAAAATAATTTGTTGTAAATAAAGAATTTCTCTCTCTCTCTCTCTCTCTCTATATATATATATATATATATATATATATATATATATACGGTACATATATCCTACATTTTGCAACATGGTAAAATATTTTCACTTCCTTATTCACCTAAAAATAAGGTACAATATTCAATCAATAATGTACATTTTTGGCATCAAACTTTCAGCTACTAAGAGCCTGTAGGTTTGAGGCAAGGGGTTCCCTATAAGTTGTTACGGACAGATATTTCAATAACTCCCAAGTTCTCTAGAACCTCCAAGCAAACTCTCGTAATAAAAAAACTTAGAATGCAATAAAAGTCAGACATTTCTACCAAAGACAGATTATGACAATGCCAGGGATTGTAACCCTGGTTCTTCTCCACTGATTATGGGCCTGTGTTAATTTTACAAACATAATTAATATTTAACAAAGTAAAGTAATTTTCAGTAAAAAAATCAATAATTTACTACCAGGTTAAAATGGTACTATTTATGTTAAATTTTGTTTGTGTAATGGATTTCACACGTTGTACCCTAGATCCATGCGGCAACTAAAAAAAAAACACTATTAACATATGTTTCAAATTTGTTAAATAATGTTAAACATTACCTTTACTTTTTGTGGATTTAAAAACAGTCATAGTCCATGTACATTCTATGAGACAGAGCTTAGTCTGAGGGAATAATGTTTTATTCATAAAACGCGAATGTTTTATGTATTAAACACGAATGATATATGTATTTTCATTCTGATTACGATAGTTTATATTCTTTATAGGTTTAGAATTGCTTTTACGATTTGTATGGTTTATGTATCGACAAAACTGTGATGAAACTATCAAATCAAACTGGTCCAAGTAGATGATAGTAGAATATGACTAATTGAGAAATTTAAGTCTATGTAAAAAATACTATGTGATCCATGAAAACCAAAAAGTATAATATTAAATATAGATTGCCATTAGCTGTATGGGCTATAATTAACAGCTGTGTCTAAGGAATGTCGGCCTTAGTCATTAAGAAGACTACAAGATCGCGCCACTCATCCTACACTCATCTCCATTCATTCTTGGCTTAAAATACCTACTTTGTAAGGTTGGAATTTAATAAAAAAGTATTAAAGATATCTTTTTTTTAAAGGCTTCGGGGTTTCAAAAAAAAATTAATGAAATAAGGTATGATCATATTCCACCAGTAATCATATTGGTACTAAACCAGCAGATGGCATATTTTGTTGGTTGATGTTTGATTTACATTGATGAGTTTTTTTAGTTAATTGGGAGGATATATGTCATTAGCTACTTGGCATTATTTTTCTTTCTCCCTTGTCATGAGGTTAACTTTTATCCTTTTGATTGCTTCAAATCTAAGCTATCAAATAATAAAACTTTTAAGTCAGCTTTTAAAAAGCTTTAAACGATTAAATTATGAGTTACAGTATTTTTTATCAAATGTGTATCAGCGATACTTGCCTAAGTTATTTTAATAATGCCTATGATATCTATTTAATCAATAAGTTGCCTAATAATGTTGACCATAAACTTGAATTCAAGAAAGACACTTATAAATTAAGATTTGTAATTCAATTTTGTTACTAAAATCAATGGTAGATGTGTAACTATTTCATACATAATGAACAATCTTTTTTCTTCTGCGTCCTCTTTCCATTACAAACACAAAGCACGAGTATACAGTAACTGCAATAAGTTACACTCTTGAGTCAACCCCGTACGAAGGCCTGATACTCTGCTAGTGTTAACAACTTTTATAAGCTAGTTTAATTATATTATATTATAATTTATAATGTATGCTCAAGGGATGGAAAACCGAAAAAACTCAAAATCAACTTGCTAGCGACCTTTTAAATCCTGTTTTGACTTCATAGAAAACATTTAACGTAGATTTAAGATTACACTTTATGTTCATTTTGTCAACTGTATAGCATACTATAAAATCTAGATAGTAGTTTTATCATACTAAATTATACTTCTAAGCTAGTAAAATAAACCCCTTATAAATAAACTTACCCGTTGTATCTCGTTCATTTTGGTGAATTGTCTCCCAAATTCCCATAAGTCGACTCCAAATTTGAGAGCCCAATTTTTCACTCTGAAAAATAAAATATATATGAGACATATATACTGGCTATTAGGAAAGTTTGGTAGGACTACAATTAACATAATACTGTTTTTAACTTCACAAATAAACTATAAAAAAGTAGAATAAAGAGGTAATCTAACTAATTAAAAACCTTGATCAATGCGCATATGCGTTGATATAAATACGTCAAGCGCACAAGTGGTTTAATTTGATTGAACATCTCACTCTAGCCTTTGCTCGGTGAGATCGTGGTAATTAAATCGTCGATTTCCCTCCAGTTTCTGCACGATGATGCCTTGATCCTATATTCACGACCCAAATATTACCTCTCTTATATGCATATATATATTGCATACGGTTTGTGCCATAATTATAACGAAGTACTTTGGATTGGATTCAGCGTGGGTTAAACATACTTTAAAATATCGTTATACTGTATTTTGTTTTGGATACTGAATTGGACATCCTTTCTTAATGGAACAGCTGTGCCATTGGTAACACCTTAACACAGCTGATTGACAACAATACAGTTATGATTCAATTCAATAACAAATCAGAAATGGCGAGTTTACAAGAAAAATAACAGTGTTTTTTGTGGTCTAACAAAACCAAATCCCCTATACTGTAGCAGTTTGACGAGCGAGTTTAATTGGAAAGGTTAACAGTCACAATTTTAGAATTTGGGGGAGTGAAACCCCCCAGGATCGTGATTGAAAAAGAAAGGACAGCTTGAAACTAAATGTTTGGTGCGGTGTAATGCATGATGGAATCATTGGACCATTTTTCTTTGCGGAAGAAAATGCGAATGGTTTTGTTTACTTGGATATGTTGGATTTGTATGTTGTCCCTCAATAGAACTGCAAACTATGATAATTTTTCGTTTGTACCCAATTGCATGAAAATCGGATCATTTTTACTCGAGCTATCATGCTATTGGACACACTCCTGTATATATGAACATGAACTGATGGTGTTTATGTTCTCTGGGAAAATGGAAACGAAAACGTAAATTGTTCCCGGGTCTAGGTCTTACCACAAGTCCTACAGCTACATAGGAAATGCGCAAAAATGCAGTTTCTAACATCAAAACACGAAAGTCACTTTAGAAACGGATGTTGCATCACTCATAAATATTATAAATATCAAATCTAAGTTGAGCTTTCGTGTTTCCAAACGTTTGCATGCGTAACTCTACTTCAGACCCAATCCAAACAAACCTAACATCCATCGTAGACATCAAATACGAGATATTACGTTCAGTTGATATCGTGATTTCTGTTATTCACCAAGGGTAGAAGGGGAGATGGTACAATTTATGCTGATATGATGGCATGTAGACACGTGAAAATTACAGAAACTTGTACCTACAATCTTGAGATATATCTTTTGTGTACGGTGTTTTATGGCGTTGTAATTTAAAAATGTGCACACAAAAAATAATGTTAAAACACTAAGTGTTGGTTTGAAGAAAGAGAAAAATACACCAGTTACTGAATATAACCAGTTTCAAACATAACTGAGTACGCTGTTAACAAACATTTCGTCGCTTTTTGGGGATTTAACATTTCTTGTTTTAGCAACGGCTTGCGAAGGTATCTTCTTCAAAATATACATAAATCTATTTATTTTGCAATAAACATAATGCAACTTATGTATATTGTAGACTAAAGATTATTATATATAGGCCTATTGTACAAGTTATAGCCTAGTAAAAAAAAAAAAAAAAAAAAATACTAAGTTAATTTACATCCGAACAAAATATTGGTTTAAAAAAAATGATTATAAGGGATAAGTTTTTTTAATAAATAGTCAATTTAGAAATTATGGCTAGTATCTCTCCTTAAACCTATATTAACTTTAACTCATGATAGTGAAAAATTTAACAAGGCTCTATAAAATAAATAGAATAGGTCAGATTGATAGAAAATACTTTGTTTTATTTGTTTTTGTTTCAAGTTTATCAATGTTCGATAGCATAATTTAATTTGAGTAAAACACCACACAAATTTTAATTTAATTTGTATTTCTTTTTTACTTTAATTTGGTCATTTTAAATTCAAAGACCTTTGGCATGTTCTTTTTTTCAATATTTACTTATATTAATAACTCTGAATATATAACTAAAATAAAAACAAAAGAGCAGATGCCACCCTACAAACGAACAACATGAATTTATGGAGTTTTCTAGCAGTAAACTTTGTGCTATACGACACAGTTTTCTTTTATTAGAGTTCGTTTATAGCATGTTTCCCTTCATAAAGAATATCTTTATAACACCCCTTTATAGTAGGACTAACATCGCTATCTTATCTTTTATAAATTACCTATCAAATGTTTGCTGACAAAATGTATGTGTAGTTAGGGAGTTTTTGTTTAGCTTAAAAATTCCGGCAGTGTTTGGTATACCATTGTTATGTTTGCGGGAAATCATTCATAAAAGGTTTTGAGAGTGAATTCCGACGAAAAATTAAAGTGAGTGGTGAGAAAGGGGTGTTTAAAAGATGGTAGGACCTTAATGTGGATGAATAGGGTTGTGTCGTTTTAAAATCGACCATTGAGTAAATGGGAATATTAAACAAAGTTTAGAATAATTGACACTGCTCGAGAAATATTGTATAGTATTATGTTGTTACGGATATTTATTTTATACAACTTACCCTGCCCGTACTCGCTACGGGGTAAAAATGCAGAAAATAATAATTTGGGTTTTTAAATCTACTGTAAGGAACAGTTACAACACACTTACCAGGAAAAATATAGGGGAAAGCTCAATCGTACTTATTGATTATTTAAATGGAGATCTCTTTATGTATTACCAGCATTTTAAACTCATAGGTCCAGGCAACCTAAACACTCCAGATACTTCTATAATTTCTTCTAGGTTTCAAAATACACTTGACACCATGTTTTATTTAGAAAATATAAATAAAATTAGAAGCTCTAACATTTAAAGTTCAGAAGTTTATTTACAATTCAACTCAATACTAAAACATAAACATGGCTGATCTTGTTTACCTCCAACTAACATATGATACATTATGTTATTATATTAATCTAATCTAGTAATATGGTAATATGGTAATACTCGAAGTAACAGTTAGTGCATCATCACAAACCTTTCCCTAGGTTTCCAAAGAATCTAATGTAGGTTTCCTAAACATAACTATTGATTCAAAGGCTACAGTAAAGACGTTAACGGTAGAGGTATAGACGGTGTTATCGGTATTATTGATAATGCCACCTAGAACGCACCCTGTCCACCAACCATCCGTCATGATAACGATACTAAGGTGGGGTAAATGGTAAGGGGGGGGGGGTAAAGATAGGGGTGGAGAGAGGGCTGGATAGTGGATATAGATGAAGCTGTGTCTCTATAAGGTATAGTGATCTGAAGAAATTCTTAAGTTTGCAATTTGAAATTGTAACATGGATTATTTGTATAGCAGTTACAAAAATTATTATTGATTTTTTGTTGAACAAAAATCAGTAGAGAAAGTAATGATTTTTTAATTTTCGGTATTGGATAGTGTTCATTTAGAATTTTTCTGTTCACCGTCACCTTTTAATCAGAATGCATTCTATTTCCCCTATATGTCCTACCCTGGTCCTAGGACGCTAGGATCTTGCCCAGAATGGTTTTACTCATTACTTCAGGCTAGTCCTAGAGATTTGCTGCATTATCCTTCCGTGATTGTCGGGATTTGAACCCGTGACCTCGGGCACCGAAGCCTCGCGCTCTACCACTAGACCAGCTCACTCCCTGAGGGAAAGTACTAGACAGTAAACGAATTGTTAAAAGCGAAAATCAGGAAACCTCTTTAATCATTATTACTATATAACAAAAGGTTAACGTTATTCGAGACCAGTTCCTTTTTAACAAATCAAAACATATATCTAATGTCATGTACAAAATAATTAAATTTCAGAATTTCCCTAGTTAACTGTTCTACTAGGCCCTTGAACATAGGTTGAAATCCAGACATACACTGGGTTAGTTTTACGATAAGCGTGTAAAAATTACTCACTACTTTTTTGCAATTGCTTCTTTAGTAATGTCTAAGAAGGTCACCAAATTAAAATTTACTCAATAAATAAACTAGTCCGATTCACAAGTAATTGTATTTAAAGCTTTACTTTAGATAAGAGTAATAATACAAAGCACTTTTTTTATACAACATATCTATGTATGAATATATCCATGTGAGCGAGCTGGTCTAGTAATAGAGCGCTGGATCTCGGTACTTCGGTCTCCGAGGTCCCAGGTTCAAATGGGTGAGGTTCATAACTCCAAGTTTTCATAACTCCAAGTACTTTTAAATACAACATTTCATAACTCCAAGTAAAATTATGTCCAAGTAAATTAAAACCAAAATATCATAAGACCAAGTTTCATAACTCCAAGCGTTCATAACTCCAAGATTCATAAGTCCAAGTTAAAATAAAACCAAGTAAATTAAAATACAAAATTTCATAACTCCAAACGTACAGATTTGCAAGGACCACAAGTCCAAGTTTCATTACTCCAAGGGTTCATAACACCAAGTTTCATAACTCCAAGTGACAATGGGTACAGTCTGTGCAGGAAGCGATAACGTACGCACACACACGCACCCATTACACACACACATGCTGGAAGAGAGTTTCCGATGTTGGCGAGATTATTCGAAGTGGTGCGTTCCCTGTCGCTTTGCACGTTCGTCTAAATTGTAATACAAATAGTGAGAGGATGAAATTTACATATTTAAATTCTGCGTAAACTGATGTTTAATACTATATAAATACAATTTAGTTCGTGCAGATGATTAATGTTTAATAATGGAAAATATGAAAAGGTTGTTCAATGTAAACATGAAAAAGTAAGTGAGCGAGGATTTTTTTTATTTTTTGGTCAGGTGAAAACTTTCAGCGAGAAAAGTATAGATAATAAGATGTTCTTCAATTTTTGTTCCAAACATTTTTTCGTAAGACTTTTAGTTTGTCCAATAATCGACGTAGATGACCACCATGAG